TTTTGTATTGAAAACAGAGTCTTAAAGCGACGTAGAGCATGAGTACTTCACTATTTATTTATACGAGAAATATTTTACTATTTATTACACAATTATGTTTTTAAAATATTTATATTTTTTTAAAGTAAATACCCTTTTTATATTAATTAATTAGTTAGTACGGTTTAATTGATAAAAAATAGATTTTGTCAGCAAAACGAGACTTGTTACGAAATTAGTGGGCATACAAAATTAAATAATAGTGGAAAATTTTATATATACCGTATCTCAACTTATACCGCACCCTGTCCACTTTTATTGTAGAAAATATTACGATTTTCTTTTCCACTTTATTAAAACTTATATGTACAGATTCAGTCACCTATTATATCATATTAGGAAAAACAATATTGCTACAATTATAAAACTTTCAATCTTTATTCATATATGGAAATTTATCTTTTTAATTTTCTTTCTGATAACAACTGCAGAACATACATACATATTGACGCAACCACGTGAATTACAGAGTAATTAGTAATCTCATTGTCGAATATAATTATTTTAAACAATATAGTTATTATTGCGTGACTTACATCAGTAATCCTTTATAATAATCTGCTGTGAGCAAATTCAATATTGGTGGAAAGTCAAGGCACATTCGCTAAGGTCCAAATTGAGAGAGTCCACAAGATTTAGCTAAGTTACTCCAGTCGTCGACATACATAACAGGCTTAAATAATTTCCATAATTATAACTTCGCCGGTAGTACACAAGTGTAATGCATTCCGCCTTTGAGCTGATAATAATTCGATTGCATCGTATCCCCATGCAGATATACCCAATCTTAGTTCAACCGATTCCGACCAAGTTTATTTATAACTAGCTTTTACTCGCGACTTCGTCCGCGTGGTAAAGTTACTTTGCGAATATTTATTAATTATATCGTGTAAAATACCTGAAATAAAGTTTCATCCCCTATTTTATCTCCTTAGGGGTGGAATTTATCAAAATCCTTTCTTATGGGATGCCTACGACATAGTGGCTTTATGTATGCAAAATGTCAGCCCGATCGGTTTAAAATTGACAAAGTTTCATACAAATTTTCATCCTCTGTTTTATCCCCTTGGGGTAGAATTGATCAAAATCCTTTCTTAGGAGATGCCTACATCATAGTAGCTTTATGCATACAAAGTGTCAGCCTGATTTTTTAAAAATGACAAAGTTTCATACAAACTTTCAGCCCCTATTTCATCCCCTTAGGGGTGGAATTCATCAATTTTTTTTCTTAAGAGATGCCTACGTCATAGTGGCTTTATGCATGCAAATTCGCAGCCCGATTGGTTTAAAATTAACAAAGTTTCATACAAACTTTCATCCCCTATTTTATCCCCTTGGGGGTAGAATTTATCAAAATCCTTTCTTAGCGAATGCCTACGTCATAACATCTACCTGCATGCCAAATTTCACGCACAGCCCAAACCACTGGATGGATCAAGCCTAATCCGTCCAGTGGTTTGAGCTGTGCGTTGATAGATCACTATGTCAGTCAGTCACCTTTGAGTTATATATATATTTAGCTGGAGATCCATAGACGATGTTTAGTTCGATAAAACCAAATATAAGCAGATGATAACGGTAGTCTTGACTTGTGTTAATGTAATTTGTGCTTTGTTTATTATTTTTTTTTTTTTTTTGGTATTATAATTTGAACAGGACAATGACATTTTTGAGCTTAGTATCAAATAAATTACTTTCAATTTTTACGAAATATGAATTAATAAAACTGAGCCATAGATCTAGTGATGTGGTTACTAACTAATCATTTGTTTACATGAATTGATAAGCGGACTAGCTGTCTTTTCCTCTTTATGATACTAGTACAGTCTAATATGACTGCTTTAAAGCGAGTAATACTTCTTTTGATGTTTTTAATTCTTGTTGCAAGCACTTGACCATCTACATCTTCATCTAGTAGTCGAGCTTTAATTCTAAGGTCGATCACATGACTGTTACTAAACATTTCTTGCGCTCACTATATATTAAATAATTTATCGTATGTAAGTTTCCCATTTAACGATTCCCAAGACTGTTTTAGTTAACCGTACCAAGAAACGGCTGAGCCTGCGTTTACAATTTACATATCTATTGCCCCATTAGTACATTCCGCGAATGCTCTCTTTGAGCGAACAATAATTTAATAACAACGTGTTACAAATTGTATTCTCTGTCGTCTGGTTTTCAAAGTTTGTTTGCGCAAACGAATTCATAAAATGTTTAGCTCCAAAAGTTAACTATATAAAATCTCTATACCAAATCCGTTCTTAAAACCAGCTAGTTATTAAATTAATCCTTTTCTTATTATCTGTAATACAAGTCTATAAAATATATTCATTTGGTTATATTGTAGGTTTCTTATTTAGTGATGTAACTTTTCAGACAAAGCTTTACATTCCATTGTAGTACATTGTAGTACATACACATACATATCTGATTAGATATGAACAATTTTGTCAATTTCAGTGGACACTAATTGCAAGCTCGACAAAAATAACTAAATGCTATTGGGTTGGCACAAAAGTAATGAGACACACTAGAAAAATCTATAACATTTCCTTTTTAAAATCAATTTTTTCGATAATATTCTAGAATGTTGTAGAACATTCTAGGTACTTCTGGTGTACGGTATATAAAGCCGCGCTCGCGATTTGTTTAGTCAGTTTGAAGAAAAATGGACGAGCGACAAGTTCGAACACTATACTTATACGAGTACTTGTTAGGCCACAGTGCGCGGGCTGCGGCTGACAATATCAATAATGCATTAGGCGCTGGAAGTACAAGCCATGCGACGGTGTCCCGATGGTTTGACCGTTTTAAATCAGGAGACAGGAGCCTTGAAAGTCAGCCACGCTCAGGGCGACCACCCGCAGTGAATGATGACGATTTGCGCCGCGAACTGCAGTTGAATCCGGATGCTACCACTCGTGAATTAGCGGAAGCACTTAAATGCAGTCACCACGCCGTGGAACACCATCTGCCTGAGCTTGGTTATCGAAAAGTTTTGGCTCGGTGGGTACCGCACATCCTTACAGACGCCAGTCGTGCAGTCCGTGTCGCTATCTGTCAGTCACTTTTGCTGCGACCCCGACGTAAAGAGTTTTTGTCAGATCTGGTTACTGGAGGTGAATCATGGATTTATTACGAGAACGAAACACGTCGTGCTTTTTGGCTGCCTCGAGAAGAAACGCCACCAACTCAACCGAAGCCGAGTCAAAAGAACCGCCGAAAAATTCTGCTTTGCTGTTTCTGGGATGCGCAAGGCATACTGTTTTATGAGCTATTACACAATGCAACTATAAACGCAGACAAATATTCAACCCAGCTAACCAAATTATCTGCCGCTATCAAGAAAAAACGACGAAGACGAGTCAATGTAGTTTTACTGCACGATAACGCTCGACCTCACGTCGCATCTGTGGTTCGCCGGCAGTTGGAGAACTTGGGCTGGGAGACGATACCCCACCCACCTTATTCCCCAGACCTCGCCCCATCAGACTATCATTTGTTTAGAGCCTTGAAACAGCATTTGCGGGGTAAACAATTTAATGATTTCTCTGACGTAGAGGCGGAGTTGAACAACTTTTTCGAGGTACAGCCATCAGAGTTCTGGGCAAAAGGCATCCAAACTTTGCCGGATCGTTGGCAAGAAGTCTTAGATACTAATGGTAATTACATCATTGACTAAACTTTTTTTATTGTAATAATAATAAAGAAGTAAAAACTTAAACCAAGTGTCTCATTACTTTTGTGCCAACCCGATATATTGAAATTTCTTTCCAGAACTACACGCGAATTAGACGTATTTCTTTATACGTTGAGCATACCACAAGGTTTAAAATTTTAAAAATGCCACCCCTCTTTGAAAGCTCGAATGCTGAAACACCAAAAAAATTGCGTTTAAATTACATAACTACATCCAAAAAGGTATTCTACTCGATTCTTACCTACCTGATAGACGATACTTTACATTTTGTGGTCTAAAACGTGTCGGCTTCGTCGGCGCCGTATAAGCAAAATGCAATGACAATTTTACGTGCGGAAACACTTTACTAGTGTATTGCAGAATTTCGTCATAAATGTTTTATACTTTCTTCCCTCTGGCACCAGTTACAATATTAATAAAAACTACCACTTTAAAACTATCCAAATTCCATGGTTCTATATAAGCGATGCAAAAAAATAAAATTTCGCCTACTGTGGCACCAGTAGTAGGTTAATAAAACAGAACAAATACCAAAACACTTTAAGTATTCTACGAATTTAATCGGTAACCGTTATTGATATTTTTATCACAAGACGGATTTAATGATAACAGTCGAAATGTTTCATCGATATCTATTTTCCTTGTATTCATAACATCGTATTTTTTTATATTATGAATGCTATTTTTTTATAATGGAAATCATAACGAGTACAAGAAAACTTTTAATAAGTCAGATTGAACGATTTTTTAATAGACTATAACTAACCTTAGTATTCGATTTCCTAATAAAGTCACGAAGTTGATAGTCTGTAGTTGTATCTCCTTGCTATTTTAGTATAAAAAAAAACTTAATTTTCTTAAGGAATCGACTGAGAAGATCCACTAATAACTAATATGTAACAAAACACCAATGAGTAGATATTTTTAAAAAAACTAACAATTAAATCGTATAGGACAGGTAACGGGATAGATTTCGATAGTTAGGTTTTTCACCTACCTATATTTCCCGTCGTTTCGACCAGGTTACACTGGCCATGGTCACGGGCTTAATACCCGTCTACAATCTAATATAAAGCAACGCGGAACTTTAAAAGTTTATAGATAATATCGTAAACCTAAAATTAACAAATTATTATTTTACAAAATAATTAACATCACTTCCTTTGAACATTTAAATTTTATTTTTTATTAAAAATCACTGCAGGTGGAACGGATTCAGTAAAAACTTATTGTTGTAAAATAATCTGAACACATATTATCAATAAAACTTTATTTTAAAAATAAGCACCTTATTTAAAGGATAATAATTATTATGATATCACGATTCGCTTAGCATAATGAAATAATTGAAAAAATTACAAACAATATTTATCATCATAATTCAATAAAATTATTTTAACATTTGTTTTCTTCAAGAAAATCTAAAAGTAAATGATTCTGTAATTTTTAATGTCGCCCTTGACTAATTCAGTATATATTATTAAATACTGAAACAGATCAATAGAGAAAATTTATGAAAAACTTTGTAATTTGTGTCATTTCATCCGCGTATATAAATTATTTGTGCTTTCTGCTTTATATAGAAATATGCAAAAAGAAGCTATCACACATTTAAGACACATTGAAAATCTGATAGGCACCTCTTTCAGAAAGGAACTATGCACTAAAATTCAATTCCTCATAGAAAATGGAACTCCACTGAACACTCAAATCACGGAAAACATCGTAATTAATTTTAAAAAACTTTAAAGTCAACTATCTCAAATTTATTATTCAGTATTTCAGACAGTGTAATTTGAATGTTCACAATGAGTATTTTGAAATTAGTAACAGTTAGTTCCATCGTTTAGTTATAGAGTGGAACAATGAGGCTTGTTTTTACTTCTTACACTGCTATGTCTCTATTTTATGCTATTATATTTGAAAGTACGATAATTGGAAAAACAGTCTTATAATAAGTGCCACATTACATACGAACATTCAATAAACATTAATTTATGAACACATTTTTTTTTTCTATTGCAAACTACCAAACGCATTTTTTTTATCATGCAAACTGCCAGTTTCTTTCCTCATGAAAAAAAACCGCAGTCAGCAAGACGCTTCCCGAGGTCAGGTTGACTAATGAATCGAAATGTACACTGTTAAGGTAGCGCCTATTTTAATGTTGGTAGGTGCCTAAATAAGAGTTACAGTTCGGGCAGTAATGATCTGCGTTTTGGCAACTATCCATACAATAAGGAACACAAACGCATGGCCAGCACCTGAAATGAAGAAAAGAAATTATAAATTAATATTTGTCTTATAATATCTTTTTAATTTTTAGTATGGCAATAAAAAAACCTCGGTCCTAATGTTACCCACTGTATCTAATTTTTTGACACTATTCTAATATCCATGCAGACGATGTGTAGCCTAAAAATTGATTGAACATATAAAGAAAAATTAGTAGCACGGTGGCGTAGTCGAAAAGCGCCGCGGTCACGGTCGTTGTCGTTAAGCACCTTTCGCAAGGGTCGGTCACAGAATGGGTGACCAAAAAATTATTATTTCGAGCTAATCCGTGCTTCGGAAGACACGTTAAGCCGTTGGTCCCGGCTGCATTTGTAGTCGTTAATACCCGCCAATCCGTATTGGGCTAGCATTGAGGGTCATGGCCCATGCTCCTTAACCATCCATAAGGAAGGCCTGAGCCCCTACAGTGGGGACGAAATAAATGGATGATGATGATAAGAAGAATGTTTGTACGTCTTTCGATCCGAAAATAATTTGTTAATACACAACAAAAATTTGAGGTCACATAATAGAGTACTCACAGGCACAGACCGTTTAATCGTTTAATAAAAAAACGATTCAAAATATTATAACGATGCGTCATACCACACTGTTAATTTTGTACTAGTTCCCTAATTCAACACGACACGCTCATTCTGAATTTTAGTTCGTAAAAATTTTTTTCGGCACGAACACGAATTAATGTTAATTTAACAATATTTTTTAAATTAACATGTAAATTGCAATGTTATACGTTGTGATATAAATCTACGTGAAAAATCTTACCTACTAAGAAAGATAGGTGATTATATGATTTTTCATATTGATCCTAATTTTCGTTAATCCTATAATCGACCTGTTTTTATGTTTTATTTTATTGTATAATGTGTAATATGAAGTATAATTTCGGTACTTGTCAAGCCTACTCACCTTTTTTATTTGACTGGATATTCTTAGATAAAAACGTAAGTAGATACAGTAAGACCTAAAATATGGTAATGCTTTCGACACTCTTAATACGAAGGGAATAAGGATCAATATCTATCATTTTATACGTACTATGTTTGTAAAGGCAGCATATATATTTTATATCATTAACGAAAAAAATGGGTATTTAATAAAATATCTATTTCAACTTTCATTGATCAATAAAAGTAATAAGAAATTAGTTGTGGAAAATAATAAAAAATATGTATCCACTCGATAAAAAGTACCTATCTAATCTGTCATACATTGTCCAAATTGATATATTTTATTAGTTGCCGTACGTACACATAGTTAATACAATAGTCGATCAGTTTTATTAAATACTAGCTTTTTCCAGCGGCTTCGCCCGCGTGAACCTAGGGAAATGTTTAGTGGGATAAAAAGTATCCGTTTATCTAAGTCAGCTAATACCCTATCTGTATACCAAATATCATCACAATCTGTTCAGTAGTTTCGGCGTGATTGACGTACAAACATCCAAACATCTAAACATCCAAACAAAGAAACTTACACATTTATAATATTAATAGGAAATAATAGGATAGTCAAACTGTTAAATGACAAATACAATGTATGAAAAAAACAGAACTAATAATTGCATGATTTAAAGTGTCATCTCACGGTGTGCGCAAAAAATATTGTTGTTTTATAAAATTCATTTCTGTATTGTTGACAATAATTTGTAAAGTGTGGTATGCAGATAATAATAATCACGTTCTATTCATGATCAATAATTACATCACTTGTAAGCAAGATAATATCACGTACACTTAATATCCGCCCTTATGTTAAGTAGCATATAAAATGAAAATTTTACTAACAATTTTTTAACTTATTAAATAATGATCTACAACCTGGAAATTAGTATTATTTCTCCGTACCGCGCGCAGCTAATACAAAAATTTAAATTGTATCAAACTGTTACCGAATCTTAAATTTTGGAAAACTATCCTCAACTGCGTTATTTGTAATCACAACGTTAGTTATATGAAGTATGAATAATGTCTTTAATACGCTAGACCGCATCGGATCTGAGCCGAGTTTCGCCCGTGCTCGATAATTTACGCAGTGTAAACCTAATAATGCCCATTACTACCGATAATATGATTAATATTTAAAATCACTCATATTTAAAAGGCTAAATTTTGTTTATACGTTTGGTCATCGTCGCAATTAATAGGTTAACTCTGCGCAAATCAAGATTCACCAAGTAGTGCCTTATTGGTTGGAGCTTACTGTACTCGGTTGAGTATTCATGTGGCATAAGATTATTGAAGATTTTTTTTTATTTCACCGTGCCAATGCTTGACTCGGAAACGACATGGTCTAGAATAAAATAAATAATAATTCATTGATAACTATAGAGTATTAGGTAATGTATACATTATTGTAAATACTACCACGTTTTCGAGATTTACATATTGAAAAATGTTTTTTTAACTAAACTTACAAAAAAAGGCAGAGTACAAGAGCAATAATATGCGTCTTGGTTGTTGATTTGTGATCCACCCTAGTCACTATTGTGGCCTGGCACGAAGGACAAACGATTTGGGTTGGTTTGGGACCGACAGCAACGATGTTCACGTTCATTATTATCTGAAAAATATTAGGTTTTTTTTAATATGTGATAAAATACATTGTCATCTTATCTAAACCCGTTGGTTGCAATATTCCACCTGAAACTGTTGAGGGCAACTACTTTAAGCTTCAGTTGTGAGATTTGACTTACAAACACATACAAATTCTTTAAATGTCTCTTGAAACAGTCCGTTGAGTTCGGCTATACAAGGTTGATTGTCATATCTTGTGTTTATTCTGAAGTTCCATGACCTACGAGACATGACCCTTAGTCTATGATTTTTAAATTAATAATAAAGTTTAGGGAATCGGAGATAATTTGGGTTATTTTGTTTTTGTGTGACTGATATAGACTTATTTCATAATCAATCCGGTGCTAATAATAAACAATCTTGTTCCGAATTTTATTATTAAACGACGCCGGGAGTCGTCTCAATCTTACAAAATTACCTACAGTTTATATTTAAATAAATACTCGTACCTAGCTAAAAATAGTAGTTAATATTGGAGTTAATAGCCAGAGCAACATTCGTTACGCTAAAGAGAATTAGGTTTGGATGACCCATTTGAAGTGGCAACCTTATGAAGACAGTTTGCTACTATTGCTGCATGAAGTGTATAATTTAATCTTGATTTTGACTACATATAAGCAATTTGCTAGATACATTTGATACACTTATTCACGTACCAAAAGGCCAGGAGCTCGATAACGCAGTTGTAATGTGTTCGATCTGCAATGCGGAAGTTAAGCAACTTTTGCATTGGCTAGTCAGAGGATGGGTGACCGAAAACTTATTATCTTGAACCATAAATACCAAATTAGATTTTATTGCCCCTTGCCATAAAGGTTTAGTTAAGGTATACTCTTACGTATGCCATTACACTGTCACCATTTCCTCCTACACAATTTCCCATATAAAACCGAGTACCTTTTTTGTATATAGATAATTCTAAGCTTAAATAAAGCATAGGCTTCTTTGTATCCTACGAAATGGTTCGCTATAGATAAAAAGTACCATCATCATGTTAACCACGCAAGCAAAGTCACTGGCAAAGAACTAATTAGTAACATTCTTCAAGAAATGAATTAAAAACAAATTTTTCATTTCACACAATACAAAATTATCTTCTTTATCTGCCTCATTATGGAATCGCTATTACGTTCCGGTTTAATCTTAACCTGATAACCTATAAACAGTAGGTACATCATCTATATGTATGTATTTCTTTGACGCGGAGTTGTAAATCGTCTTGTGAAGTTGATTAAATTAAAATATAGTAACATTGAAGTTAAAATAGTTACATTAAAGTGAATAACACAAAATTTTTGTTGTTTTAGAAACTGCAATCAACATAAAACAACTTTAAGTAGGTACACAACACGATTTATTTTCATAGTACTATCGATTATCAAAACCTGTTGATGTATGTTTACCTTTGTGAATGAAATTTACCCTCGGTATCAAATTTTCCATTACACTGAGATTCTCGGAAAACAATATTTACTATGGAGGTTATAATAATTTCATATCATACAGTTAAAAATACATAATAATTTCACATTTTTATCATTAAAAAGTTACTTCGATGCATTTATTTAAGCAGACATTAACCATTAATAAACAACAATAGTTCTGTAATATTAAATAGAAACTCACAATACCACCGATGTATAATATATTATTCAATGGAAGAGACACGCGATGCTCGCAGACCCATAAACCAATGTAAACTACTAACATGACCTTCGTTGTAATAAAAAAAAAAATGTTGACTCACCTCTTTCCGTATTCACAGTTGAAAAAACACCTTTTTTAATCACAAATGGCCTTCCGCACGTCTACACTGAACCGGAATGAAGTTGTGACTAAAAGCAATTCTCTAGTTTGTCCATTAACACATATATTAATCTATATATATATAAACTGTATAGATAGTGAGGCTTCGTGATAATACAGCTTGTAGGATCTACGTCATGATCAACAATGATGTAAGCTGAGACAAGTGTAACATGAATCGAATCTGTGACAATTGTATCAGTATGTTCAACATATGGCCACGGTGTTGTATTACAAGATTACCAAACATCTACATTTTTTTGTGATATCGAACTTTTTGTTAATTCGGTAGCTCAGTGTCGTAAAAATATCTATCATACGTAGCGCCGTATGAATCAGAAAATTAGAATAACAGTTAATTGGTTGTCCTAATATGAACTGTCATGAGCGAGTGTAACATGCCAATATTGATGATTAGTTCGATGATATAATGTGCCTGTTTTTTGTTTACAAATGCGTATGATGTAGACTTATGTACATACATGTACAAGTGGACAGGCAGGCGTGAACCCTATCTTTATACGTATTTGTTAATTTTATATGAAATATGCGTATTATCACATGTATATTTATAAATTAACTAGTACATTTGTGATACCTGTCTTCCACGTCATCTCGGCAGTGAATTCAGTCGAATCTCTCTCTGATCCTCAACTACAATTTTTTAATTATGACCCAGTTTTGGTCATTTTAAGAGTTACTCAAGACGAAAGTCTTTGTCTCAAGAGCAGTGTCTCAAGACGAAAGTCTTTAATTCGTGCGTGTTGCCAGTGATGACATACGGTACTGAGACGTGGCCGCTTACGACGCTTACGATGGGCCTCATAAGGAAGCTCAAGGTCGCTCAAAGGGGTATGGAAAGGGCTATGCTCGGGGTTTCTTTGTGAGATCGAATCAGAAATTATGAGATCCGCAGAAGAACAAAGTCACAAACATAGCCCAAAGAATTGCGAACCTTAAGTGGCAGTGGGCAGGGCACATCGCTCGCAGGACTGATGGCCGTTGGGGCGGTAAGGTCCTGAAGTGGCGACCGCGTACCGGGAGACGCAGTGTTGGCAGGCCCCCCATAAGGTGGACCGACGATCTGGTGAAGGTCGCGGGAAGCCTTGGATCGCTTTGGAGATATTTGGGAGAGGCCTGTGCCCAGCAGTGGGCGTCTCTCGGCTGAAGTGATGAAGAGTTACTAGAAAGTTAACACATCATAGCTATTAACGCTACTAGTTTTGCTATAATGCAACGATTTCAAAGTTGTGCCGCTGTCAAAGGACCTGACACTCGTAGTAGGAGTACAGTACAGGTCTACAATTTTGGAGCCTTTCTGGAAATGGCCCTGCCACATCCAACGTTATGAGGACAGATAACGTTGGATGTGGCAGGGCCATTTCCAGTAAGCAAGAGTGGAAACAAGTATTTTCTCGTGGTTATGGAATACTTTACGAAATAACCAGAAGTTTTTGCGATCTTTGGGACAATAAATAGAAGGTCACTTTGGAAGATGCATCTTTTGATGCTTCGAATGTGGGCTTCTTATGATTGGAACGTGGCATCTCCTACGTGGCAAAATATATTTTAATATTATGAACATATCAAAAGGTAGTTTTTGATATTTTTACGAGACAAAATAGAACACTATTTTGACAATTGATCGTGTTTTCCTCTGAGAAGGGCAGAGGAATTTTACACATACGGCCTAACTCAGTTTTAGTGTTAATGTATTTATATTATATTTATTTTGTCTTCATGTATTTACTATATTACTTGTATTATGTATCTGTTTATGTATATAGGTTTATATAGGTATACTTTTTCTTTATTTTTTTTTTATGACACTTGATTTGTTTTTGTATACTTGGCATTGTAGGCTTTGTTGTTATTTCTTTTTCATTTTGTTTTTGCTGTTATTTTATTTTATATAAGTAGGTGATTCAACCAATGGGCCCTATCAGAATAACAGCGCCTCTGTGTCATTTTGCCCATCTTGATATGGCACAGGGGCTATCGCTGAGATAGGGTCCATGTTGACCACTCTGTCACTACCTAAAATGTTGCATATATATATTTTTTTAAAATATTTGTATTTTTTGTTTTTTTTTCTTCTCTTATACATTATCATTGTGTTCATGTAAGGTGTGGTCAATAAACTTTCTTTCTTTCTTTTCTATCCCTAACCAAGACACAATAACGTTGGTTGAGCAACTAATTCATAATGTCTTGGTTTGGAGTCCCGTTGAAAATACACAGTGACCAAGGAAGGAATTTAGAGTTCGAAATCTTCCAAGAAACATGCCATGTGATGGGTGCTCATAAAACCAGAACCCACAGTCCGATGGGATGGTGGTGGAAAGATTTAGATAATAGGCAGATGGATTGGAACAAGCATATTCAACTGTTTCTTCTTTCGTATCCAAGCGCCGTGCACGAAAGAACCGCTTTAAACCCGACTTTCGCTAATTTTAGATATGAATTACGTAAATTACTTGATTACGGGTATTCCCCCGGATACTCCACACTGCATTACAGATTATGCAAATGAGCTGTGGGAGAAAATGAACGACATTTATGTTGGATACGTTCGACAGTGTGGACAACAGTCATCAGACAAAATGAAGACCCATTATGACTACAGAGCTAACAGTGAAGGCTTTGAAGAGGGATCGCAAGTTTGGTTGCACAACCCAGTCCACACCAAAGGAAAGTTGTCAAAGTTACAAGAAAAATGGGATGGACCCTACCGAGTCCTGACGAGGATCACCGATGTCACGTATCGAATACAGAACGGTTACGGGGGCGTCTAAGATTTTGCATTTGGTTCGATTAGCGCGATATCGTGGCACTAATAATGCTCAGGAAGAGCATGTCTAAGGAGGGGGTAATGTTACGGAGCTCAATGTCGTGATGTTTCGGTTACCCGTTACTAGATGGCATTACACTTATACGGTAGGTACGTAGCCGTTCTAGAACTTTCTGGTAATGCCTCGAATAAAACGGTAGAATCAAGGCCAACCTAGAATGTAGGTAATGTACCTATGCTGGTAAAGTCTACCTCGGCCCCTATAAAACGCGGTGGGCTATCCGTCCAGGCATTTTTCAGTGATCATGCGATCTGGAAGCAAGAGTGGAATACAAGCGATACTTGGAACAACTAGTAGTGCGGTGCAGTGTTGTGAAGTGAAATACTAAAGTTGAAATTTGTATTTTGTTGGTAGAATTATTTCTTGTGATTTGATTATGTAAATAAAGTTGGATTGTGAAATAAATTGGCATTGATTTTTATTCAATATATTAACAATAGAGCAATGTTAGAATATATTGTTAGAATATAACAATATATTCTAACGTTGCTCGACACTTCTGTTATAAAACTAGTCAGCATCGTATTATATTGATCTCCATTAAAATTCTAACTATTTGGACGTAGTGTTTGACATATAGACACTAACATATTTGGTGGCTTTACTGAAAAATATTATTTTATGCTTCCACGAACGGATATTATAATACCAGTAAATTCTACTAAGTACATAATAGGTTCTAATTCACGTTTACTTTATCATTTTGTGTGTATAAACTTTGTAATTTAATCATATAGTACGTCTAAGTATACATAGTAGTACCGGAGAATAAATCAAATTACCAAAAAAAATACACTTTTTTTTCTCACTGGATTGTAAACCCTACCATCATTATTGTAATGGTGAAATCTTATTTAAAAAAAAACCGTTTGGTAGTGTGTTGTTGTGATGTTGACTGTCCGACTGTATATACCTACATATGTATGAAATTACTACCCACGTGTAATTGATAGAATTATGCGAAATGCTTAGGAAAAATATTTTCCTCTTCTTTAAGTAATGGCAGCAGAATACTAACAATCTGTTACTAAAAGACTAGTCTAGTCTCATTTATGTATCTAGTCTAGTCCAGTCTCATTTATATCTTCACGCCGTATCAGACGTTTTAGTTTATTTGTTATTAGTTTATTTACAGAATTAAACTAATAAAATCATTTTATGAAGGTCAAGGCAACCTATGATGGGAGAAGACTTAAACCCATTTAAAGTACAATATATGTTGTAATTCAAATGCCGTTGGTCGGCCATATTAATAAATAAATGTAACTCTTTTAAACTCGATAAGTACAAACCTTACTAATAATCGACAAATCTTTATCTTATCAAGTTTCCTTTGTTTATTATCTCTGTTTAATCATAATTTATATGCAGACAGAAAATATTTGTACCTTTTATTGGTTACAAATCCATAGGTGGTATGATTAATTAAGTTTTAAAAGAATTATTGCGTCCAATTTATATATTATGTAATTTTTATCTAAGTTTAATATGTATCAGCACACACCAATAGAGAAAACTAAATATTCTATCAAACAACTGGAATGAATAACTATTGTTTAGCAAGATCCTGTGACCGAATGGGGAAAAATGTTAAAAACAAAACAAATTTTCTTAGACACTTTTAATCATAATAATAATTTATACATATTACATTCACGACGATAATGACATAAGTACATGTAAACAAAGTATAGAGAAAGTATTATATGCCTTGGCGTTTCAATAATATAAACATTTATTACTCCACAACAAAACGAAATACATAATTTGTGTTACATCTAAGCTAATCATATACTTTATCTAAATACTTAGCAGCTGATGATCAATAACCCATCTTTCAGCATACAGCTCCTCAAACCTCACAGTCTTAGAATCATAACATCATATATTTTAAGCAGATAAGTAACAATGAAATTTGTTTCTTGTATTATTTGAGTAGTCTTAGAACAGAAACAAACTTTAATTAATCTATAGCGTTATCCTCTCGGTGATAAGAATCATAACAACTGAGTGCGTGTGAGAGGATGAGTAGGTACCAGAAGTGAATTATGAAAGTAATTAGAATTCGAACCAATATAAACAAATTTGTTCTTATTATTTCCGAGAAAAGGTTATTATTATACTAATCAGTCCGAGAATGAAAAGCATGCCTAAGTTACGGCAACACCGTTACATCGGT